GGGCTGCGATCACAAGGACCAATACCGACTCAACTCCAATCAGACAAATTCAGTAACCTTTTAATCCCTCGCGGCACCACCGTTAGGTATTACTTTGCGAGGGAGGTCTCAGCGATTAGCTCTTTCACATTGTTTTCATACACTGTACGTCCCCCTGTCGCGCTAAGCTGTTGGGTGTGGGGAGGAGGTTCCAGTAGATTCCTCGCTTAATCTGCACATGTGCGCTTACGTTCCTCACTTCTGAGCTCCTTCATGACCACTGCCGCAAAGTTGCTCGTTGCATCGCAGGCTACCTGCGATGACAGCATTACTTCCTTCAAATTCTCGGGTAAAACTTTCCTTCCAAGCTCAGACTCCCAATTATTTTGGATCTCGCTGGGGCGAGGGCATAGACAAAACACATGCTCCGCATCCTCGTCCACTCCTATGCAGATGGGGCACTCCGAGGAATCTTCACATTTATGTTTATGAAGATAAGCCCGGAAGCACCTGTCTCGAAAGCATTTGGCACAGATAGTAGTTAACCTCTCCATGATTTTGACGTATCCAGGCAGCCACATGTGGGATCAGTCGATAAGTCCAACTCCCTTTGGTAGAGTTCTCCCACTTCAGCTGCCATCGCCTCAAGCTGTTTCATCTCTCTTGTGTCACCAGTTCTTCAGGGTTCCGCGTTTCTGATCTCTTCCGCTGGTACAGCGATCTTCACTCCTCAGCTAGTATCTCTATCGGTAATATTCCTGCGATGACACACACTGCGTCTTCGGCCACCATCCGGTATCCACTTGCCACTCTGAGGGCACTCAGCCGATAGACTGGTGCGATCCTACGTCGCGCTTCTATCTGGAGTACTTCAGCCCAAATGGGGATGCCATATGTGAGCACCGACGTAATCACTGAAGATAATAATGCTCGTCTTTTTTGCTTTCGCCCTCCTATGTTGGGCATGAGGCGGGATAAGGTGACTCTATCTCCCGATACCTTGGCACCCACGTGCTCCACTTACTGCTTGAAGTTTAGTCGGGCGTCGATCATCACCCCCAGGTATCGGATGAATGGCTGGGAAGTGATTTCGGAAGACCCGACCTGCAGCGTGATTGTCTCACTTTTCTTCCTATTAGTGATCAGGACGGCTTCTGTCTTATGTTCCGCCAGTTTCAAGCCAATAGTTTCCGTCCACGCGGCAGATCACATCGAAGGTCGTGTCGAAAGTTAAGTTAATCTCCTCCAGATATTTTCTCACAATGGCTACGGCTACATCATCTGCAAATACCACGAGTTTGGTATCTCCTAACATTATCAGCTTCAGTAGCCCGTCATACATAATGTTCCACAATAAGGGACCCAATACTAAGTTTAGCGATACACCTCCGGTGACTTTGTACTCCTCGGGACCACACTCCGTGTCGTACTTGAGAACTTCCAGTGAAGTAACAGTCGATCATTCTCCGCAAGTATCCCGGTACGTTGAACTTCGCAAGTGCCTCCGTGATAGGGTCCCACCTGGCCGAGTTGAAGGCATTCTTGATGAGAGGCAGTCTAGCGTCGCTACCAAATAGTAGTTCTTGGTGCCATTGAACCATCTTTTCCCTGAGATCGCGTCTCTGGCGGTGTCAACGACAAAGTTTATAGCGTCCAGTGTGGATCGGCCTTTCCGAAACCCATACTGGTTGTCGTCTAACAAAAGTTCAACTGCTGTTTGTATTCTTCGGTGGACAATGCGCTCGAGGATCTTGCCAGCTTTATCGAGTATGCAGAGTGGACGGTATAATGAGGGGTCGTTTGGTGGATTTTTCCCTTTCGTTAGTAGTACTAGTCTCTGCTGCTTCCACATGGCAGGGAAGGTGCCCTCGCTCAGACACTCATTTTATACGTTCAAGAACAACTCCGGCATCGCATGAATAGCTGACTTCAGCGCGATATTGGGGACTCCATCCAGACCAGGGGCCTAGGTGTTACCCACTCTCTTGCAGGCTTCCATCAACTCTTCTTTGGTGATTGGTGGAACCATCATCTCTTCTCCTTGCTCGCCAGTACGATGAAACTCCGGTTGTTGCGAGAACAACACCGCGAAGATTTTTTCATTAGTACCGGGCACGTTGGTGACGGCATCAGTTGACTTTTGAGGCGCGTCATCACCACCTTATATGGTCTACTTAAAGGTACCCCACCTCAGGAAGAAGCTCACTCCAGGCTTGCTTTTTACTGTACATGATGGCTTTGCTAAGTTTCCGGCGTGCCTTCTTATACCGCATCTCCAGCTCTACAAAGTTCGACTCTTTACGGCTACCCTGGGACAATCTGCTGGCTGAGTTACTCTCTTTCCGTAAGATGGCGATCATGTCATTCCACCAATACACCGGTGGATGCTGTTTTGTAGTACGTTTGCTGGTCATGGTGGCATCACAGGCTTTTGTCACTCTTTTCATGATGTTATGCGCCTTTTCAGTATCACTGTAGCCACTGATCGGGCGGTCATCTAACGCTGCTAAATAGGACCTAGGATCAATAGTGCTCACTCTCCAGCCAATGCAATTAGTCTTCGTAGGTGTTAAAACTGTTCTCTGGCCAGTATACCTCTGTTAAAGTATCACACGGTGGTCGCTTGCAGTTTCAAGAGTACTGCTCACGAAGGTAAGGTCCACGATTGAATTTGCCTCTCCCCTGTTGAAGGTTGGTTCGTTGCCGCTGTTCAGCAACACCACGTCCAACGCTACCATAGGTTTCAGTACAGCTTGTCCTCTAGGGTTCGTCTCTTTACTTCCCCAGTCGACTGCCCAGGCATTGGAGTCCCCGGCTATTGCCGCTGGAAAGTGCCGCTTCACATCCTCAGCCAGTCTATCTAGAAAATCGGTGAACTCATCAATCGGGAGGCTCGGTGGGGCGTAGCAGCTGTAGGAATAGATTCCATCAGCCTTAGTCCTCAAAGGTCGGCTCTCACAAGCCCAGATGACAGTCTTCTTGGTGATGTCAGTAACCCAGGGTTGGGTGCCAATATGTCTATACGGCTCTGAGATAATGACAAGGTCAAGCTTAAGCTCGCGCACCGTTTGCATAAGCAGGTCGTATGCGGCCTCACAATAGTTGAGGTTGAGTTGCAAGACCTTCTTCGTCGTTTGCTAGTGAGCTTCTGGAGCGCCTCCTTGTATGTTAGGCATCTACTGCTACCAGCAACGTGAGCACAATTCTTCGGGCTGCCTTTTTCGACGCACAATGCGCATCGGGCATCCTTCTCACACGCAGCAGCCTTATGGTGACCTTCTTCGCACTTAATATAGAGACTGGATCGGTCCACTGCACTCTTGCACTGGATGGCGAGATGTCCATAATGCCAGCACTTGAAACATTTGATTGATCTTTGCAGTAATCTAATTCTGCAGTTCACCCAGCCAATCTTGATCTTACCACGGTCACCCAGAACGATCGTCACTGTCGACGACGGCAGTGTCACCAAAGCAGTCTAAGTCCCCGCATAGGCTTTGCGAAGACTTGATGGCATCCAGCCGGATTTCGCACGCTTTTCCCGCCGCTTCTTGTAGGGCTGCGTGAGCTTCCTCCGTCGTCGTTTCATCAAGATCACAGATTTCGAGGTCTCCTTGTGGCCTCTTACTGACAACTTCAGCGTTATCCCCAAGGAGTTCAGCTATGGTTTTTTGAAGTCCATGGCCTCCACCTTTATTCTCCTTGGTGAGAATGATCAATAGATTTCCAGTAGCCGCTCTGCGGATCTTATCGACCGAGGTACGGACCTGAACATTGGGGATGTCCTTCTCCACTAGTCTGAATATATCAGCATATTTCTGTTTCTCTTTTGGCCGGACAATCAGCGCATTGGGCTTGATCACTGATTTTCGCGACCCCTTCTTCTACTGGGGCTTCTTCTGTTGTGGGATTGTGAGCTGCTTCAAGGGTTGCGTTATACGTTGCTTCTCTTTTTTATTCTTCTTGACCTCTTGTCAGTCCGCGCCCTTGAGCGATTCAGCTGGCATCTTGGCGGGTGGAGTTGGTCCTGTCTCCTTCCTCCTCTTCAACTCCTGAGTCTCTACTGGCGACGTTCGCTGCTAACCTCTGTGTTCTTCGCTGACGTCCCAGTGATTTTGCGGTCACGCGGTGTTGGTGGCGTACACACGACTTCAGAGGTCAGGATAGCAAGACATTGATGTGGCTCTCTTGCCTCCTCTAAGGTTCTCAACCTTATGAAGGCACTACCAATGCTGGCCACCTTCGACTTGATCTCCTTGTGGACATTCGGTCCGACTCGGTGTAGTGTCCGACTCGGTCTGGTCTGGATGGTGGCGACCATGAGCTGTCAAAGTTGGTGGGACCTGGCTTATTTTAGCTCGGCAAATGTGCAACCAATATGGACTAAAAACGTACCCCTATCACCTGCCTCTTATTTCCCCGTGGAACCGCCACTTGGCATTACAGCACGGGGGGAGGATTTAGCCGTAGCTCTTCCTTCGGCCAGCCGAAGTTAGTGCTTCCTTCCTCTCATTGCTTCCTCTTCCTCTTATCTCTATTTCTTTCCCATTTGGCCTTGCGTAGGACCTTTAGGATTCCGCTGCGAAGGCGCTGGTTGCCTTCCAGGCTGCCTCTGATGAAGGCATTGCTTCCACCAGGTTATCAGGCTGAATCCTCCCTCCGAGTGCAGCCTCAAGAGTGCTGCGGGGCAGGTCGAAGCGCGAACACATGAAGAATACATGCTCCGCATCTTCGGAGACTCCTGTGCAGGCCGTGCACTCCGACTATTACTCATATTTAAACTTGTGAAGATATTGCTGGAAGTACCCGTGTCCTGAGGGCATCTGCGTCAAAACGTAATTGACCTCTCCATATGATCGGTTAATCCATGCATCCAGTTGCGGGATCAGGTGGTGAGTCCATGTCCCCTTGGTCAAGGCATTCCACAGCAACTGCCATTGATGGAGTCTGCTGGTCCTCTCGTCCATCCTTAGCTCAGCTGCGCTCAACGTTGTTGCCCGCTTTCGCTGGTAGAGGCGTTTTCATGCCTCGGCAAGTACTTCTATGAGCAGCATCTCGGCGGTGACACACACGGCATCTCCTGACACCGTGCGCAATGCATTAGCCACTCTGAGGGCGCTCATACGGTAAGTCGATGCCACTTTCCGTCGTGCGTGCTGGATCAAAAGTGCGTCAGCCCAGATGGCGATGCCATATGTGAGGGCCGACGTGACAACCGATGACAGCAACGCTCCTCTCTTCTGCTTTGGCCCTCCGATGTTCAGCATATGTCGAGAAAGGACGGTTCCAACTCCATACGCCTTAGTGCCGACGTACTCCGCTTGCTGCTTGAAGCTGAGCCGAGCATCAATCATCACTCCCAGGTACCGTAGCGATGGTTGGGACGTGATCTCACGATTCCCGACATGCAGCGTGATGATTTCAATCTTCTGTCAGCTCGTGATCAGCACTGCCTCTGTCTTGTGGTCTGCCAGTCCCACTGAGTCCATCCACTGACGAATCCTGTCATAGGTAGTATTAAAAATATAATTCATCTCCTTTAGGGGTTTACAACGATTAGAAGAGCTACATTGTCCGCAAACGCGACGAGTGTAGCCTCCTTGGGTAACGTTAACGTCAGAAGACCGTCGTACATTACGTTCCACAAGATAGGGCCAAGCGCTGAGCCTTGGAGAACACCACCAGTGACTCTGTGCTCTTTGGGACCCGAGTCTGTATCGTATTTCAGGACTCTGTCAGTGAAGTAGCTTCGCACCATCTTCCTCAGGTATCCTGGTACATTCAGCTCTGAGAGAGCCTCCATAATGCTGTCCCATCTGGCAGAGTTGAAGGTATTTTTGATGTCCAGCGTTACTACCAGACAGTACTGCTGCGCGCCCCATTTCCATCCCACGCCAGAGATTACGTCCCGTGCAATAGAGACGACTTGGTTGATGACGTCAAGCGTGGAACGACCTCTACGGAAACCGTATTGGTTGTCAGCCAATTTTGGTTCGACCACTTCCTCGATCCTCTGGTGAAGTATGCGCTCCAGAATTTTTCCAGCTGTGTCCAGCATGGAGAGTGGACGATATGACGAGGGTTCGTCCGATGGCTTCCCTTTCGAAAGGAGCACCAGTCTTAACTGCTTCCACTTGGTTGTGTGTGTGTGTGTTTTTTTAGGCCTTTGGAGTGAATGTACCTAACCGCACGATAGTGGACTGTAAGAGCGGTGATTACTGTCACACCCTGTGTCGGGCCCGCACCCACTAAATACCCCTGACCCCGGGATTTCCTCCCGACCCTGCTTTCCCTCGCGGAACCACCGTTAAGTATTACTTCGCGAGGGAAAGTAATCGTCTCAGCTGTTTGCTCTTCCACCATGACTTCATTCAATGTACGGGACGTGCCCCCCTGAGATGTTGAGTGTGGGTAGGAGGTTCCAATGAATTCCTTAGCTATTCTGCAGCTTTCTGCTTGTGTTCCTCTCTCCTGAGCTCCTTCAAGACTTCGACTGCAAAGTTACTCGTCGAGTCCCAGCCCGCCTGTGATGATAGCAAAACATCCATCAAGTTCTCAGGCAATACCTGTCTCCCAAGTGTAGACTTCCAGGCACTCCGGATCTCGCTAAAGCGAGGGCATGTGAAGAACACGTGCTCTGCATCCTCGTCCACTCCTATGCAGATCGGGCACTTGGGGGAATCTTCATATTTGAATTTATGGAGATACGCCCGAAAGCACCCATGTCCCGATAGCATCTGTGTCAGATAGTAATTGACCTCCCCATGGTTTCGGTTTAGCCAGATAACCACCTTCGGGATCAGGTGGTGTATGTGTGTGTTTTTTTTCTTCTTAGAGGTTTGGGAGAAATCTTCGGAAGATTCTGGTAAAGTGATGTTAAAAACCAGATCTGGGATTTTTATCCAGTAAAACCCCATTTTCTCCTCTTTTCATCTCACCCCATACTCCCCGCGGGACCGTCGTCAGGCATTACTTCACGGTTGGGACATTCTAACTGCAGCTCTTCCTCTGTTCAAATGCTGGGCCGTACGTCCTTCTTCCACACTCAGATGTTAGCGGTGAGAAGGAGGTTTCGGTAGCTTTTCCTCCCATATAGCGTTCTCTCGACGGCGCTCTTCCTCACGGAGCTTTTTCATGACTTTCGCCGCAAAGTCGCTCGTTGCGTCCCAGGCTGCCTTCGATGACAGCATTGCTTCTAATAGGCTCTCAGGCAGGACCGGTTCATCAAGTGCAGGCTCCCACTCCCAGCAGCTCTCTCTGAAACGTGAACATACGAAAAACACATGCTCTGCGTCTTCTTCAGTACCTGTACATGAGGCGCAATTCGCGGGATCCTCATATTTGAATGTATGAAGATACGCCCGAAAACACCCATGTCCTGAAAGCATCTGAGTCAAGTAATTGTTTACCTCGCCATGTTCACGGCTTACCCAAGCACCTACCTGCGGGATCAGGCGATACGTCCATGGCCCTTTCAGTGAGGTACCCCATTGTGACTGCCATCTCTCCATACTCTTATGTCTCGCTTCTGCCTCGAGCACGGTTGGGCTCAGTGAGGTCGATCCTTTTTGCCGATACAGGGATCCTCGTTCCTCGGCTAATACTTCTATCAGCATCATTCCGGCTATGATACACACAGCGCACATCGTCAGACACAGTGCGAAAAACGCTGGTAACTCTGAGGGCACTCACTCGGTAAACAGCTGCCACTTTGCGTTGAATCTCTTGTACTTGGAGTGCATCCGCCCAAATAGCGATGCCGTAGGTGAGTACTGACATAATCATCGACGACAATAAAGCTCGTCTCCTCTGCTTGGGACTTTCAATGTTGGGCATGAGGCGTGATGAGGCGCCCCGAACCCCGGATGCCTTGATAGTCACGTATTCCACTTGCTGTTTGAAGTTGAGCCGGGCATCGATCATCACCCCCCAAATACCGAACGTACGGCTGAGATATGAGCTTATAATCCCCGACTCGCACCGTAATTGTCTCTAAGACCTTCCTACTTGTAATCAACACGGCCTCGGTTTTATGCTCAGCCAGACTCAGGCCAACTGACTCCATCCAACCACGGACCGCTTCAAAAGTCATTTCGAAGGCAAATTTGATGTCCTCCAGCTGTTTTCCCATGATCACTACGGCCACGTCATCGGCAAAAGCTACGAGACGCACATTGGGTGGCAGTGTCAGCTTCAGCAGGCCATCGTACATGATATTCCACAGGAGAGGACCCAGTACCGAGTCCTGAGGCACCCCTCCAGTGACTCTGTATTCCTTAGGGCCATACTCCGTGTCATACTTGAGAACCCTCCCGGTGAAGCAATCGTCCACCATCCTCCGAAGGTATTCAGGCACGCCAAAACTCGAGGGCCTCCAAGATGCAGTCCCATCTGGCTGAGTTGAAGGCGTTCCTAATATCCAGCGTCGCTACTAAGCAGTACTTCTTCATGCCTCTGTACCATCTTTTCCCTGAAATCGCTTCCCTAGCTGTGTCAACAACTAGATTAATGGCTTCAAGGGTGGATCGGCCTCTCCGAAAGCCGTACTCGTTGGTGGCCAGCAATGGTTCAACTGCGGCTTCGATTCTCCTGTGGACGATATGCGCTCGAGGATCTTACCAGCTGTATCGAGCATGCAAAGGGGACGATAGGATGAAGGTTCATCCGGTGGTTTTTTCCCATTCAGGAGCAACACCAGCCTCTGCTGCTCCCACTTTGCAGGGAAGGTGCCCTCGCTGAGACACTCGTTGTACACGTCCAAGAATAGGCCTGGTAGCGTATGGATAGCGGCTTTCAGCGCGTTGGGAATCCCATCAAGACCGGGGGCCTTGGTATTCCCGACCCTATCACATGCCTCCATCAGCTCATCCTCAGTGATTGGTGGGACCACCAACGGTTTTCCCCGTTGGTCGGCATGCTGGAGTCCAGGTTGTTGTGGGAAGAGCACCGTGGCGATCGTCTCCAAGAGCACAGGGCACGTCGGCGATGCCATGGGCTGGCTTTTGAGCCGCGACATCACCACCTTGTACGGCCTGCCCCACGGATCGCATTCCACCTCAGCAGTCAACTCCTTCCAGGAATGTGCTTTGCTACGCTTGATGACCTTGTTGAGCTTACGGTGTGACTTTCTGTAACGCATTTCCAGTTCCTCAAAGTTCGGCTTTTTCCGGCCGCGCTGAGATAATCTTCTTGCCGCGTTGCATTCCTTACACAAATTCGCGATAGTATCATTCCACCGATATACCGATGGCCGCCGGTTGATGGCTCGCTTCCTGGGCATGGTGGCAACGCAAGTTTCCGTGAGTCTCCTCATAATGTTCGTTGCCTTTTCAGTAGCATTGCTGCCACTGATTGGGCGATCGTCCAGTGCCACTAAATAGAGGCTAGGATCGAAGGAGCTCAATTTCCAGCCTATTGCATTAGTCTTCTCCGGTGCGGGTCCGCGTCTCGGGCAGGTGAAAACCTCCCAGAGTATCGCACGGTGGTCGCTTACTGTGTATATTTCGGTTACTTCCCATGAGCAGTTTCCTTTTGCGAGGTTGCTGCTCACGAAGGTAAGATCTACGATTGAGCTTCCCTCTCCTCTCATGATGGTCGGTCCCTCGCCGCTATTAAGTAAGACCAAGTCCAGCGATGATATAGCCTCCAGTACGGCTTGTCCTTTGGCATTAGTCTCCTCAGTTCTCCAGTCGACTGCCCAGGCATTGAAGTCCGCGGCTATTGCCACGGGAAATTGCTGCTCCCCATCCTCAGTCAGTCTATCTAGGAAATCGGTGAACTCGTCAATCGGAAGGCTCGGCGAGGCATAGCAGCTGTAGACATAGATGCCATCAACCTCAGCCTTGACAAAACCATATTCGTTGCTGCTGGTGGTGCTCTGAAATGGTCGATTTCCACAAGCCTAGATGACAGCCTTCTTGATGGTGTCAGTAACCCAGGGTTGGATGCTAAGATGTCTATATGGCTCTGAGATGCAGACAAGATCGACCTTCCGCTCCCGCACCATCTGCATTAGCAGATCGTGTGCGGCCTCACAATGGTTAAGGTTGAGCTGCAGTACTCTCATCGCCGTCCGTTGGTGAGCTTCTGGAGTGCCTTCTGATATGCTAAGCATCTGCTACTACCAGCAATATGGGCACAATTCTCGTTGCCTCCTTTTTCGGTGCACAGGGCACATCGACGCTCTTTCTTACACTCCGCAACCTTGTGGTCGAGCTCAGCGCACCTGACACATAATTTTGACCTATCGACTGGACTCCTGCATTTAGTGGTGAGATGGCCTTAGTGCCAGCACTTAAAGCACTTGACCGGTCTCTCCACTCTTACTATACGGCAGTTCACCCAATCTATTTTAATCTTCCCGTGCTCTCCTACAATCTTCCTCGCTGCGGTTCCTGCCAGCTTCACTGAGGCAGTCTGGGTTCCTCTGAATGCGTTGCGTATGCACTTGATTGCCCTTGGATCGATCGTATACTCATCTCCAGCTGCCGCCTGCTGTTTTTTTTCTTTTTAATGTCTGTTGGGAGAATGCATTTACGCATCCCCACTTGCGGGAGAGAATCCTAGGGATTTTCTCCGACAACTGGGGTATGTCGGGCTCTGGTCACAAGAACCAATACCGACTAAACTCCAATCAGACAAATTCACTAATCTTTATTTCCCTCGCGGCACCGCCGTAAAGTATTACTTCGCGAGGGAGGTCTCAGCTGTTCGCTCTTCCACGTTTTCCATCTAGCGTGCTTCCCCTCATTCCGCTAAGATGTTGGTTGTCAACGAGAGGTTCCATTAGATTTCTTACCTATGCTATAGCTTTGCGCTTGCGTTCTTCTCTTCTGAGTTTCTTGATGACTGCCGCCGCAGCGTTACTCGTTGCGTCCCAGGCTGCCTGCGATGACAGCATAGCTTCCACCATGGTTTCAGGCAAGACCTCCCTTCCAAGGTCAGATTCCCAAACACGCCGCATCTCGCCGAAGCGACGGCATCTGAAAAGCACACGCTCCGCGTCTTCGTTCACTTCGGTACAAACTGGGCACTTCGGGGAATCTTCATGTTTGAATTTATGAAGATACACCTGGAAGCACCCATGTCCCGAAAGCATTTGCGTCAGGTAAGAATTAACCTCACCATATGTGCGGTTTAAACAAGCTCTCACCTGTGGTATCAGCCAATGAGTCCATCTTTCCTTCGAGTTTTCCCACTTCTCCTGCCATTGCTGTAGACTCTTTCGTCTCTTCTGCGCTGAGTTCTATTGCGCTTAGTGTCTCAGATTTCCTCCGTTGATACAATCACCTTCGCTCTTCGACCAACATTTCTATCGAGAGCATCCTGGGTATAACGTACATCACGTCTTCGGACACCGTACGATAAGCGCTCGCGACTCGCAGGGCATTCAGTCGATAGACTGAGTACGGCACCCAGATGAAAATGTCGTAGGTGACCACTGATGTGATCACCGACGACAGCAATGCTCGTTTTCTCTGTTTTGGGCCTCCTATGTTGGGCATGAGACGCGATGAGTTGGATTTAATTTCAGAAGCCTAAATTCCTACTTGCTCAGCTTGCTGCTTGAAATTAAATGGGGCATCGATCATCACTCCCAGGTATCGGATGTACGGCTAGGAGGTGATTTCACAGGACCTGACTTGCAGCGTAATTGCCTCAATTTTCTTCTTGCTAGTGATCAGCGCGGCTTCGGTCTTATGTTCAGCAAGGCTCAGTCCTATAGTGTTCATCCAGCGACAGATCGTCTGAAAGGTCATGTCGAAACTGAGGCTGATCTCCTCCTGGTAATTGCCCACGATGACTATGGCTACATTATCCGCAAATGCCATGAGTTTAGTTTCCCGTGGCAGTTCCAGCTTCAGTAGACCGTCATACATGATGTTTCACAACAAGGGACCCAATACCGAGCCTTGAGGTATACCTCCGGTGACTCTGTACTCCTCAGGACCATCCTCCGTGTCGTACTTCAGGATTCTTCCAGTGAAATAGCTGCCAATCATTTTCCGCGAGTATTCCGGTACATTAAACTTCCTGAGAGCTTCCATTATACAGTCCCACCTGGCCAAGTTAAAAGCATTCTTTATTCATTTTTTTTTTACGGCCTCGGAGTCCCTTTTTCGGGTCCCATTCGGCACCCTATCCAACCCTATGCATGCGGCTGTGGATTCTACACTGTACCGCATTCGCACTTCTATAGAACATAGAAGTAGCATGGGGAAACCACAGAAAACCCATGCCGGTACAGGCGGTTCCTCTATTAGCAACCTCCCGCTCGCCGGAGCCTTCCGTTGAAAAATTCGGTTCCACAGGGAATAGAACTCACAACCTTTCGCACACTAGACTTGCGTCTAATCCACTCGGCCACCGACCTCGGTAAAGCATTCTTTATGTCTAGTGTCGCTACTAGGCAATACTTCTTCGTGCCATTAAGCCATCTCTTTCCTGAGATCTCGTTCTTGGCAGTGTCGATGACCAGGCTGATCGCATCCAGAGTGAACCGGCCTTTCCCGAAGCCATATTGGTTGTCTGCCAACAGGGGTTCGACGGCCGCTTCTATTCGTTGATGGACAATACGCTCGAGGATTTTGCCAGCGGTATCGAGCATGCAAAGCGGACGGTACGATGACGGGTCGTCCGGCGGTTTTTTCCCCTTTGGGAGTAATACTAATCTCTGCTGCTTCCACATGGCAGGGAAGGTGACCTCCCTTAGGCACTCATTGTATACATCCAAAAACATCTCTGGCCTCGTGTGGATAGCTGCCTTTGGGGCGATGTTGGAGATTCCATCGAAACCAGGGGCTATGGTGTTACCCACCCTATTGCAGGCGTCCATTAACTCCTCTTTGGTGAATAGTGGCAACATTATCTCTTCTCCCTCTGCGACAGGACGATGAAGTTCCGGTTGTTGCGGAAACAAGACCGTGACGATTTCCTTCATCAACACCGGACACGTAAGCGACGGCATTGGTTGACTCTTGAGTTTCGTCATCACCACTTTATAAGCCCATGGATCACCTTCCACCTCATCAAGAAGCTCACTCCAAGATTGCTTTTTACTGCACTTGATAGCTTTGATAAGCTTCGGGCGTGCCTTCTTATACCTCATCCGCAGCTCCTCGAGGTTCGGTTTTTACAGTCACGTTGAGAAGATCTTCTAGCAACATTACACTTCTTGCGTAGGGTGGCCATGGTGTTTATCCACCAGTAGACCGGTGGATGCGGATTTATGGTCTGCGTCCTGGTTATGGTGGCATCACATGCTTCTGTTAGTCGTTTAATGACATTCCGCGCCTTCTCAGTAGCATTGCTGCCACTGATTGGGTGGGCATCTAGTGCGGCTGAAAAGGAGCTAGACGCGAAGGTGTTCGCTCTCCAGCCAATGCAATTTGTCTTCTTAGGCATCGAGGTGACTTTCTGGCGAAGACATGTCCCCCAGACTATCACACAGTGGTCGCTCGCGGTGTAGATATCAGTTACGCTCCATGAGCAGCTGCCCTTAGCAAGGCTGCTGCTCTCGAAGGTGAGGTCCACAATTGAGCTTAACTCTCCCCTCACGAAAGTCAGCTCATCGCCGCTGTTCAGCAGGACGACGTCCATCGATGACATGGCTTCCAGTACAGCTTGCCCCTTGATGTTCGTCTCTTTACTTCCCCAGTCGACTGCCCAGGCATTGAAGTCCCCGGCTATTGCCACAGGAAAGTGCTGCTTCGCATCCTCAGTCAGTCGATCTAAAAAGTCCTTGAATTCTTCAGTGGAAAGGCTGGGCGGGGCGTGGCAGCTGTAGAAATAAGTTCCATCAACCTTCGCCTTCACGAAGCCATTTTGTGTACTATTACTTGTAGTTTGAAATAGCCGTTTGCCACAAGCCTAGATTACCGCCATTGTACTAGTATCAGTGACCTAGGGTTGAGCGTCCAGGTGACGATACGGCTCTGAGATGATAACAAGATCGGGCTTCAACTCACGCGCCGTCTGCATAAGCAGGTCATGCGCGGCCTCACAGTGGTTGAGGTTGAGTTGGAGTAATTTTATCTTCGTTTATTGAGGACCCTCTGAAGTGCTTCCTTATACACTGGGCATCTACTGCTACCAGCAATGTGGGCACAACTCTCTGTGTTGCCTTTCTCGGTGCACAAGGCGCATTGCGGCTGCTCCGGGCAGTCCGAAGCCTTGTGGCCGGTTGTTGAGCATTTGACGCAGAGTTTGGACCGGTCGACTATACTCGTGCACTTCGTGGCGAGGTGTCCGTAGTACCAGCACTTAAAGCACTTAACTGGTCTCTCTACTCTTCTCACTCGGCAATTAACCCAGCCTATCTGAATTTTGCCATGGTCCCCCAAGATCTTCGCTACGAGTACAGGCAGTGTCACCAACGCCGTCTGTGTCCCTCCGTAGGCTTTTCGCAAGAATCTTATGGCATCCTGCGTCATCTGCACCTCGTTGCCCGCTGTTTTGCATAGGGCTTCCAGAATTTCCTCCTTTGTTATCATATCATCGAGGTCTTTGATCTCGATATTCTCTTGAGGGCCCTTGCTAAGAGCCTCAGCGTCTTCCTCGAGGAGACCAGCTATGGTTGAGTGCAACACTTGGGCTTTGCTAGCGCTGTCTTTGGTCAAGACGATGAGCATGTCCCCTGTGGCTCTTCTGCGTATCTTATCAACGCACCCTAGCACATGATCTGGAGGAACATCCTTGTTCACCTTCGTTAAAATCTCGGCATACCTCACCTTATCTTTTGGGCGAATGATTAATGCATTGGACCTGGATGCTGATTTGCCCATTCTCCTACTACTCCGGGGAGTATTTGATAACGTCTTTGGAGTTTTCTTGGCTTTCTTCCTATTCTTCATGGTCTCCCAACCACAGTTGGCGGCCGGATGGTCAGATGTCTTGGCCGGTAGGGGTGTCCCTGGCCCTTTTGGATTTTTGGGCTTCTTATCATCATGCCCAGGCGAGTCATGCTTCCGCCGTCTTGCTTGACAGATGTCCCGAGAGTCTACCACGGATTGTCTTCCATTTCCAGCTCAGAGTCCTTTGCTGTAGTCTCGGATAATGTCTGTTGACGTACAGACAACAAGCCCTGTCTGCTCGTTTCTGCTTGAGGGGCAGTCTGTTTCGCTCCCTCTCGAGATTCCTCCAATCCTCTCAATCTTCTGAAGGCACTATTGATGCTAGTCACCTTCAATTTGATCTCCTTGTGGACGTTCACTTTAGGTTGAACGAACTCATAAAGGTCGTTGATAAGCCTTGCAAGCCTATCCCACGCCTGACTTCTCTTACCCGCTGCCCCCGCTTCTGCTCCTTGTAGTTTGTTTATTTGAATCTTCATGTTTATCCCACGAGTACCTAGGGACATGACAGACCACCTCAGCAGAGCCCCGGTTGCTGAAGCTAGGCCACTTAATACACCTGGGGTGGGACCTGGTGCCCTAGGGACCACCGTTTGCGATGCCAACTACCTCTGGTGCCTTCCAGAATTCAGCACGGTGAATACCTTGACATTGGGGGGGGGGGTTCAACTACTCTTAGTAGAGTGGAGTGGTACATCCACTCTTCAAGTCCCTCCTCCGCGGCAAGGTGGCAGTTGGAGGGGCCTGCTGTGTGTGTGTGGTTAAAATTTTATCCAGCCATTTCTACTGAACAATTAATGCGATTCGATCAATTTTTTTTCAATTGATGCATCGTCATGTAACTTACACCAGACTAGTTTGTAAAGACGATCGCCTCAGCGGTCTTTGAGTAATTAACAAAAAACATGTGAAAAAACGTCAAAAATCATGTTTTTTTCACGTGTTTCACTATTTTTTTCTAGTGTGATGATGAGATTTGATTTTTTTTTTCAATCGATGTATGTTAATGTAACTTGGAACTGATTAGTTCATAAAGATGATTGTCTCAGCGGTTCATTAGTTAGTCGCATAAAACCCGTTTAAAAAAAGTTTTATTTGACAAATTGACAATTTCAAGGAGAATAATGAGATTTGATTTTTTTTGTACTCTCGATGCATTCATATGTCATTTGATTTTGATTGTCGGTTTTCTCGTTATCCAGATGAAAATGTATTTTTTTTTGTAATAAATAGAAAAATGGGAACTGTTTGAGAAGTTATTGGTTCGATCCGTAATGAGTCACACCCACTCCAGTCGACACGCAATGGGAGCGAGAGAAACGAGTGACCAACAGCTTAATCGACTTCCAACGCACCCGCAATGGTAGCAAGCGACGTGAGCATCCAACAACCTAGTCGAATGTTTTTTCTCCTCTTTTTCTAATGAATGTGTGATATATCAGGAATACGGAAAGTACTGAAAAAAACCGCCAAAAATACTTTTTTGGTATCCTTTTTCATATTTCTCCTATCCTCTTTCCACTAGCTCATTAGCTTTTTTCTTTCGAATCAAATTGTGAATAAGGATAAATTCAGAATAACATAAATATTTCTCTGGTATTCCTTTTGCACATTCCTTTCCTGAGGAATATAGGTTCATAGAATAAGGAAAGTATAAAAAGAGAACACCAAATAACCCTTTTGATATAGCTTTTTCAAATTTTTCCTATCCTTTTACCACTTCCTCATTTCCTTCCTTTTGTCAAATCAAATTGTGAGAAATGATAAACCCAGAATAACAAATATACCTCTAGTATACATTTTTTATACTTTTTATCCCACAAAAAAAAATTGAGATACCATAAGGATACCAAAAAGGCAAAGATAGAATATCAACCGTTTTCCCCTTCTTTTTTCATCTGAATTCATTTCAAACTTATAACGAAAGAAGAAAAAGAGAATAAACACCTAATACATGAAATTCCACATCTTGCGAAAAAAGATAAAAATAGTACGATTTCTTGGCATGAAGTTTACACCAATTCTCATCTGTCAAGACTTTGGCCATTTGAGACAGTGGCCGTGATCTGGATTGTATTTTTTCTAGATGAATTGATTTCCTTTCAGAAAGAGCTGAACAAATATTCACTTGATAGAAGTTTTTATAAAAGTATCTGTTTTTGTGACACCTGCTTCAAAAGTGCACTTTTCGAAATGGTTAGGTGTGCGTGAACCGGTTGTTTTCCGCACGAGGTGCGTAAAGTTCAAGAGCGTGCGTAAAGTGAATTTTACGCTCGTGAAGTTTACGCGCTCCATGCGTAAAACAACCGCTTTACACATACTGAACTCTTTTGAAAAGTACATTTTTGAGGCAGGAATCACAAACGTAGCAACTCTCTCTCGGGGACGAAAAGTCAAATGGGCTAAGATTGGGCCAGTACTGGCAAGTAGAGCTGCCGAGTCTTGAGTGCCGATCCTCAACCGGCCTTTGCCCAGCCTCGGTTAGCTACTGGTTCGAAAACGTTGATAACGTTTGATAACGGTGGGTCATCGGCACCGAATACTCATCCCACCCAATACTCATTTTTAATAGTTGAAAAAATTAATTAATACATTATTTTTTTATTATTTAATTTACATTTTTCGGCTAATCCTTCCTAAAGAAACCGATAACCGCTGACAATGATGTATGAAATGTCTCATCGGGATTCGATCCTGGAACCTTCGGGTTGCTAGTCCTTGACTTTACCCACTCGGCCACTGTAGAATTGTTAGTTATGAAGAAGTATATCTGACTATTTAATTTTCTTCAATTATGAAACTCGATATAAATATGGTAAACAGCCTATTTATTTATGATCAATAAATAATAAAATGACAGCATTAAGGTCTCGACTTTGAACCTTACATACCTTAAGATCCTTTGACCCTTAGCATCTATTTGTACGTTTTCCTGTATGACCCATTCGACCCCTATGATCATTCGACCTTTCATAAAAGCTTCCAACCCTTACAAGTACGTTTTCTATTACCCCTATTTGACCTTATAACCCTCGTGACCCTTGTATTTGGCTCGTTGCAATATTGCGCTCGGTTTTCTAAACAGTGACCCTAATGAGAGTTTGACCCTTGCAATTGATTAACTTGTTTTTCCTGTTTGACCCTTATCAATTCTCGGCGTCCGAAATTTACCCAATTATTGGCCGAGACTCGGTATTGAACAAATGGACATTTGATGTTCAGTCAACACTTGGACGTAAAGGAGTCGCCGGGACTTGGCATGCCATCCCAAAGCCGATGGTTGGACGGAAGTGGGTCGCCAAGGCTTGGCATGCCGATTCTAGGCTAAGGCTTGGCATACTGATTCTAGGCTGAGGCTTGGCCGATTCAACAGCATTGGCAACACATTTGAATGCACGGCTGACAACATCTCGACGTCGAATGTGAGGCTGTCGGATCAGCACTGCCAATGTTGTAATAAAAATCTCACACTCAAAATGTGAATCATCATGAAGTGAATACCAACCCGTTGTTGTGCGCGTACCAATGGAATTGATAGAAATAAAAAAATGACACTAATGCCGCAAAAAGTAACGATCACATGCCTTCTGTCGGATAGGCGCGAACCCCTGCTTGTTTAAATTCTAATTCCCCTGTTTTTACGTCCTACAACAACAGATAGCTTTTGAAAATATATATGAATAGCTTCGTTTACTTGACCAATACTCATAGAAAGATCCAAACCATGCTAAATTTCAAAATAGACATAATGAAATTCACTTTTTGGATGAAAACTCCCCTGTGGTAATGAAAATTGGTGATAATTGAAAAATTCGTGGGTTCATTTTAAAATAATTTACTATGTTTTCATCTGACCATAAGATTTTTTTACATATTTAAGCAGAAATTGAGAAAATCTCCCCATTAAAAGGAAAAATATGGAAAGTTTCAAAACGTGACATGCTAAAATCGCTACATTATCGTTTCTGACAATTGATCTGGTGGATGGAATAGGTAATATGGGGTATCAATTTGAAAACCTCGATGAGACCTTCAAATTGACATATGATATATCCCCACTGGTCAAGTCTAAAGCTTCGATAAGTGGCAAAAACTGTCATTTTTGTGGTGTCATGAGGTAAAAAATGAAAATAATATGGAGAAACTTCAGAAAAATTCGAGCCTTTCAAGGGACCGGGACCAGATGGGATCTACTCAGCTTTACTACAGGAGGGGATAGAAATCATCGTGGGCCCTTTAACAAAAATTCTCAGGACCAGCATGGCCCTGACAAGTGTTCCGAGGGTGTGGAACGAGATCAGAATTGTGTTCATGCCAAAGCCTGGTAAGATTGGGTATATAAATCCAAAAGACTTCCGTCCTTTGAGTGTCACATCCTTCATTTTGAAGACGCTTGAAAGACTGATGGACATGTATACGAAGATGGGGCCCTTGATTGAGCATTCCCTCTCTCCCTCCCAATATACATACAGGGAGGGAAGATCTACAGACACCGCTTTACACCTTCAGGTGGGACTTATTCAGGGAGAATTTGCTGCCAAGGGATACGCCATAGGGGCCTGTCTAGACATAGAGGGAGCTTTTGATAACACCAGTAATACAGTCATAGAAAGAGCAATGGAAATGCATCAGATCCTTAGGGCGATTATTGCTTGGACACAAAGCATGTTAAAAGGCAGAAAACTGTTAGTGAAACATGGACGTAGCTGCGTGGAGGGGCGCCCGGCCAAGGGATGTCCGCAGGGAGGAGTCTTGCCACCTCTGCTCTGGAAACTGGTGGTGGACGAACTCCTAAGCAGGCTGCGTGAAACGGGGTTCCACGTTACTGGCTTTGCTGATAATGTGGCAATTGTAGTCAGAAGTGGATTTCTGGGGGTGCTCAGAGATTTGCGGCAACGGCTTTCAACATCGTTGAGGGCTGGTGCAGGGAAACTGGGCTCTCAGTCAACCCGGCCAAGACTACACTCCTAGTCTTTACTAGAAATTATAAGCCAGAGGCG